GCATATTAAACAATACGGAAATCCTTATGTCAGCAGACTGAAATTTTTCTGTATCGGAGAACTTTAAAAAGCTAATTTTGGGAAAATGGTGCTTTTAAATTACGACTGTCAACCTGGAATGCACAACTTAGAATCCATTTGCCCCATGTCTATTATTTCTTCGTTATGTGGCTTGAGGATGACAATTTCAAAGTAAAAACAGTTTTAAAATATGATCATATTGATAAATTACAAATAAAGAAATAACTGACATGTTCAGGTAAATTAAAAACAATAGTAAAATGTGTGGCATTTACTGCTAAATATTTTAATAAAATGGTAACATTGTGATAAACGATTAGTAAAAACACAGGACTGAACAAAGACTAAAAACATATACAATATGCTCCTTAACTCCACTACAGAAATGCAAAGTCGGTTAGAACTATAGTTCTAAGAACATTCATGAAAACATTTGCCATTTAATGTAAAAGGAGGAAAAAAGTAGATGAAAATCAATAGAACACCAAAAAGAACAGGAGTACTTGTGGCACCTTAGAGACTAACACCAAGATTACTCTGAAAAGTAAAGTTGCTCCAAAGAAGAATGCTTTAGCCTTATGCTAGTAAGTATTTTTTGGAACAAATGTCATGAAAGAATGATCAATGTAATACTAAATCCAGTCACTGAAGACATATTTTAACTTGCCCTCCCGCAGCTCTACACGGAAATCAATTAGAGATTTACATTTTCCACTTTGCAGCCTGAAAATGCTCTGCTGGAATAGCTAAAAGTAAATCACGGGTAAATAGTGACTTAATGAACCAGTGAAACCTCTCCAGTGCCAAATGTAGTTGCATCTGTTAGCTTTAAAAGACTAAAGTATCTTTTTTTCCATCGCCATAAAAGGTTCCTTATAAGAACCTAGTAAGCAACTGTACCCTGTCTGAACCTTTCTGCTTCAAGAATTCAAAAAGTTACAATTACACTTTGAATCAAAGCTACTACATTAAAAGACAGTCACACTTCATTACGCTTTATTCAATACTCTTTTGGAATTCTTGGTGACTCCTCCCTCACCCTCTACATTTAGCAAGGTGTCAGCTCTTTATTTTAAAGCAATACTAGATTTAAATTCAAATATAAATATATCAAACTACCTACCTACGTATGAAAATCCTGCATACCGACACTAATGATTTAGCAGGTCTTTCCCCACCGTCTGTTTCTATTGCTCAAATACTATACGGATTTCAGAAAATCTGAGGGGGGGGGGGAGGGGAGGGAAGAGAAGCCCTAACCTAAACAAAGTAAACCTCCAAGAACAAAACAGAGTGCAAATATAAAAGAAACACTGTAAAAGTGAGATTCCAGGGAAACACCAAGAAAAGAAAAATTCTAAGTTATAAAAAAAATCACTGACAGCAGAGTTTTAAATATAACATAACAGTCATAGAAGATTTGACAAGATTTGTCTTAGCATTAGCGCTTAAGGTTATTAGCAAAGGGTTCACTGTCTTGTTTTTTAAAACGCCGGAAGGTTTAATATCTTTTAACACTTCTATTTCAGGTGTCAAAAAATGAGTTCACAGATTCACACATTAAGGCCAGATAATATCAATATGGTTGCTTTACCTCATATTTCCTACTAAACTTTGCATACCCTCTGACAATGTGTGCTGAACAAAGGTATTACTTTACAATAACCATCATAACTAAATTGGGTATGCCCCAAAATAAGTCCAATAAATAACTGACAAAAATATTCATTAACCATTTTTGAAGCAAAGTGTTAAAATGTATCTCACATTTGTTACTTTCAACAGTAATTTCAAACAGTAAAAATGTGGTTTACTAAGTTGTGCTTTCTTGGTATCAACAGTTACAGTTTATAATGCTGATGCCAAAAAATAGCTTAGCATAGGCCTTATATGGTGCTCCATAAAACTAACACTGCATACATATCTAAGCCACCCACTAACTCCTGTAATTCTCATGACTGTTGCGCTTAGTGATATTCTTAGATAGCATTTAAGGATACTGTTCTTTAATAAATATTTCCCTCCTTCCACCATGCAACAGCCTATACAATGAGCAGAAACTAACTTTTGTATCTCAATAGTTGATCAGACAAGACATCTAACAGTCCAGAATGGCTCTGCATTCTTAAGGTTTATAAAGCGATACTCAGACTGATGCTTGTGAGCCACAAGTGGCTCTTTAACGTGTCTCCTGTGGCTCTTTGCAGCACATAATATTAAAACACTGCGTGATTTAATTATTAACTAAGCAGGATGCTTTTACTATGTTATTAACCAATTGTAGTTGATACAATAATACTTGGTCAGTCATTTCGCTGTGAGAATTAATTGATATATATATAATAAAAACAGTAAATGAAGCAATGAATTCAGACTACCACGGCTCTTGGGGTAATGCTGATCGCTAATTTGGCTCCTGAACCGCTGAGGTCTGAGTTTTACTGGTTTATAAGGTCTGTCTGGGGAGAAGGGTTTGTTTTATACCAGGGGTCGGGTAACCTTTCAGAAGTGGTGTGCCAAGTCTTCATTTATTCACTCTAATTTAAGGTTTTGCGTGCCAGTAATACATTTTAATGTTTTTAGAAGGTCTCTGTCTACAAGTCTATAATATATAACTAAACTATTGTTGTATATAAAAGAAGAACAGGAGTACTTGTGGCACCTTAGAGACTAACAAATTTATTAGAGCATAAGCTTTCGTGGACTACAGCCCACGCTTATGCTCTAATAAATCTGTTAGTCTCTAAGATGCCACAAGTACTCCTGTTCTTCTTTTTGCGGATACAGACTAACACGGCTGCTACTCTGAAACCTGTTGTATGTAAAGTAAACAAGGTTTTTAAAATGTATAAGAAGCTTCATTTAAAATTAAATTAAAATGCCGAGCCCCCCGCATCGGTGGCCAAGACCCGGGCAGGGAGAGTGCCACTGAAAATCAGCTCGTGTGCCGCCTTCGGCGCACATGCCATAGGTTGCCTACCCCTGTTTTATATGATGCTAGCTGCGCAGACAGACAGATAGTTAAAATTCTGTTAAATTGCTTTTAGCATTCTCACGCCAAATCACACACAATTTTTTGTCTGAAGAGTTATTGCCACCCAGCTCAAGTTACTTTCCTGTTCATTTTACGGGGTGCTTGAAGGAGGCTAAGGATCCTACTAGATCCCTAAAGTACTTTTGGGATATGTAGTGTGAAGAGAGGAGGAGGATTGTCTCTTCATAATCAAATATCAAGTTTAATTGAAACTATGATTCCCCCTTCCCCTTCCTGACCTATACACATTCTACATTCCCTAATTTTGCTTTCAAGAGGTTCCTGTAGAACGGGGTAGGCAACCTATGGCATGCATGCCGAAGGCGGAACGTGAGCTGATTTTCAGTGACACTCACACTGCCCGGGTCCTGACCACCGGTCCGGGGGGCTCTGCATTTTAATTTAATTTTAAATGAAGCTTCTTAAACATTTTTAAAACCTTATTTACTTTACATACAACAATAGTTTAGTTATATATTATAGACTTATAGAAAGAGACCTTCTAAAAACGTTAAAATGTATTATTGGCACGCAAAACCTTAAATTACAGTGAATAAATGAAGATTCGGCACCCCACGTCTGAAAGGTTGCCGACCCCTTTTGTAGAAGGAAGCAGACGCCTCGCTAAGTCTGTTTGGAGGCAGATCAACTAACTTGAAATCTAGACTGTAAGGCCTTCACAGCTTTTCTGAACCTTATAGGCACAATCCCATAACCTCTATGCTGCAATAGCTGTATTCAGACAAGCTGGGGACATTTACTCACACGTGAAGAAACACTCTCAAAATACTTGTCCCATTTGAGCCTAACTAAACTCTAGCCAAAGATGAACATCCACGAGTTTTACTGTAAATGACAACAAGAAGGGGAATCAGATCAATGCTACTGAAAACCCTGAACTTTAAGCACATGCATAAATGTTTGCAGGATCAGGATTTAAGACTTCAAGAGCTCCTGAGGAAAGGCAGGATTTTTTTTCCTGTTCTCTCATCTACAATATTAATATACTTGGCATCTGTTTGGTCAAACTTTTTAATTGATGTCTGGATCATTTGACTGGCAGGACCTGAATGATTTTACATAGACTTTGCAGATCTATATTTGAATATTTCATTCACGCAAGGTACCCAACTGCAGGGACAACAAACACTAATTGATAAGTGTAAGAACTTGAACTTTGATGCCTGCCTTTTAGAGTGCCACCAAAGCCATTAGATTTTAATACATGACATTTGAAGTATTGCTTCTCCTCATAATAGCTGAATAGGAATGCCATGTTCACATACCATTCCTGTGAGAACAATTCTGCAACTCTGCTTTTGCAAGAAACAATTACATGCAGTAGTGCGCTAAAGAAAAGAGTTTCCAGCAGGTGGGGAAAGATTCCTTTTTTATTGGAATCTGTTGTTATGCTGTTAAATTCAGTTCCTTTCAAATTAATTTGTAAGTGCTCTATATGTGAAGAGGCTGCCGACACCTTCTGGTCAGTCACAAAGTACAAGTTTCCATGACTGCAGTGAGCACACAAGCATCATTTTTAATGCAACACAATTTTCAAAACAAATCTTTCAAATTTTTCCAAACATGGTATCTGGGTGCTCAGGATTATGTGTCGTTTTAGGCTATGCCTATCTTCCAATTTGATGTTATTCCAGAGAAATCGCAGCCACTTGGTTCCCATTTCACCTGACATCTTTCATATTAACACCCTACACAGACAGTGATCATATACTTAGGCCACTGTTACGCTCTTTAAAAACAGACATGCCTGGAGAGCAGCTGCCCATAGATCCATTCATATTTTAACTTTGTTTCACCCTGGATGCATCATGGACTCAATCTATTAATGCATTTAGATCCGGTATTGTAACTCTCTATTTCTGTAGTGTTGGGATTACCAACATACCAGCAAACTAAACAAACCGATTCATTCTTGGGCACTTACCTCCAGGTTTTGTTTCTTTTTCTTTGGTTCAGTTTCATGGACTGGTTGTTCCTTTTCTGCCACACGCCGTTTTGATTTTTTCCTCCTTTTTTCTTCCTTCATTTCTGGGTTTCTCGTATTTTTTTCTATTCTGAAATTAGTTGACAGACACAGAAAGATACATTTCAGCTACAATTCAGTATGGGCTAATTAATGTACAGTGCTGGAAAGCAACACTGGAGTGGAGTTCATCCAAATTTTTTACCCCAAATCCATTTGTGGAGGTTTTGTCACAATGAATTGCATCAAAATGGCAGTAAATTGTTGAAGTCAAATCACAGAAGAAAGGAGAATAAATATAGAATTTTAGCAATTTTTAAAACACCTGCTCCCCAGCCAACTTAGCATCAGTTGGGAGTATTATTTACTACATTTGGGTTTGGTCAAACTTCATATTAGGAAAGGTGTTGAATGTGCAGCTTAATTGGCTCCAATTAGGACTGGGTATTTTGAAAAGTTCTAAAATATTATAATTAATAAACAACAACAAATGGGTATGTACAAACAAGTGGTAGGCCTAATTAGTAAACTGGAGAACTCAGTTGTGTTATGTAAAGAACTGCAAATGTTTCAATTTTGGATGATGTGCAAGGGGAAAAATGTGTTTAAATAGAGAATTATTTTGCATTTAATTTCAGACAGCCTGGGGATGGGGAAGGGGGAGAGATTCCAAGATAGCCCTGGATCTGACATCAGACAGACACTGGTCTGGTCCTCATGGATTGCTCTAACTTACATTTGGCAACAACCACATCTATGATGCATTTGTTGCAGGTGACAGCGACTAAAAGCTATAGGCATTTCAGCCACACCATCAACCTGAAACATTCAAGGGGCCGTGAAGGACGATACAGTTGCTGGATATCTCCAGACCACCTAGGCAATACTCAGCCTGTCTGACTGAATTTCCAGTAAAAGGCTCTACCAGTTCTGCACCAATTTCCATATAGAATAGCATTTCAAAAAGTTACTAATATGTAAATCTGTAAAAAAAGATTTATTTTGTGATTAAGTAGGTATGCTTTAAAAACAAAGAAACATCAAAATGTTTTCCCAGGGAAAACTAAAAGATTTACTAAGGGTTTCAGTTTAATCTGGTAGCAACTGTAACTTTAATACAGTGACACACCAACTTTATTTTATGGTCAGCAGCATGGCATGAAGAGAGAAAATATCCAGCCATCCTCAGATGGTCAGCTACTACAATAATTACTAGTGATTTTAATTATACCATGTTTATCAGTTACTTGTTTGTGACAAAGGCTGCTATGTATCCTATGAAGTGCCCATATGGTGAGCAGGCACTAGAAAGGGTGTGGGGGGAAAGGAAGTTTACAGTTGTATGGTATTTAATCACAGACTGACCAGCAAAATCTACTAGCAATACTGAGGAAGACCTTAAACGGTTACTCGGTGGGTTACTGTCAGTACATAGGGAGTAAGACCTGTTGGCACCATTACACAACACAGTGGTACTGAGTGTTGGTCAATTACAATACTTCAGGTTCTTTGTACTGACACCTCTAGTCTCATTCTCTCTCCACCTGTGCTGCAGGCCAATACCCCAGCACCGCTCATCCCCCGGTCCACTGAGCATTCTAACCAGGGCCTGATGTGTAATCAGCTTATGCAACCACGAGACGACGGAATAATTTGCTCTTCCAAAAACCCCACGCAATGCCCTGGAATCTGGATGCTACTGGAGCAGCGCTCCCCTCCTGCTCGGTTAGGAGCTGGGCATTACTGCCGCCGCCCACCCCCCAGCTTCAAGGCAGAGAGAGCCTCCTGCGGAGCTACCCAGCGGCGAGGAGGCCACTGCCTGCGGCACAGTCATCCGAAACACGGGAGAGCCGGGTGGGGAAGGACCCAGTACTGCTCACTCTGAGCATCCCTACCCCATGCCCCTAGTGAGTGCCCCTCCCCCCGGCCCCAGCGGAAGGAATCTCCTCCACAAGGCTCTGCCCCCACCAGCCCCTCCGGGGAGCCACCCACACGGCCCCCTCAGGCTCCGGGCAGGGGGCAGCCGGGCAGGCTTCCCTCCAGCGACCGCTCCCCGGGGCCTCAGGCGGGGAGCGCTGCCTCACCCCGGGGCTTTCTGCGCCCATAAGAGACTTGGAACAAGAGCCCCCTCCCCACCCCACCGGGGCGCCTACTAAACCTCCCACTCGCCACGCACCTGTCAGACCCGCCTCAGCACATTTAACTGAGCCCCGGGCTTGGCGCTGCAGACCGCCCCCTCTCTCTCATTGGCTCCCGAAGGCCAGCGAGGGAGCCTCGTTGGATATCGCTTTGTCAATCACAGGAGTGGCCAATAGAAAGCCATCTTTGTCTTAAACCCGCCTCTATCCCCCGACGTGCGCGCATGTGCGCTCCGAGAGGGCCGGCCCGCGTGCGGGTGGGGTGGGGGCTCACTGTGTTGACATCATCGCTGTGCGCTGAGTCGGGACAGCCGGGCTCTCAGCTTCCGGAGTGGGAGGGGCCCCAGGAACTTGGCTCCTCCCAGCCGTTGGGGTCAGCCGCGTGTCGTCCCCGCAACGCTCCTCTGTCTTTTCCCCGCCCTCCCCTTGCTCCTCTCGTTCCCCCTCCCACCCCACGCCTCCCAAAGCACGTGCCATAGAGCTGCCCTGGGGTGGGTGCTGCTGCCTCAGCGCGCACGCTCTCCTGCGGCGCCAGTGACACGTGCCTCTGGCCTAGGCTGCTGTTCTTTAGCCTGGAGCCCGTGTTGGGCAATGGACGGGAGATGCTGTCTGGACAGTGGCTGGTTTAAGCTCTTCTCTCAGGAGGAGTCGGTACCAAGAAAGAGCAAGTTGCCCTATATAGGCCTGAAGACCAGCTCTGTATAGTGCATAAGCTTGTCTCTCACACCAATAGAAGTTGGTCCAGTAAAAGATTACCTCACCCACCTTGTCTAGACATATTTGCCTGTGCACCCAATCCCTCTTGCTGCAACGTCCCAACCTTAATCAGCCTGCAGGTCTGGCCTGCTTGTGTGTGAAGAGAGGAGAGAGCTCACAGAGTCTATATTTTGTAGTCTAATATTTGCTGCCACCTGGTAAATGATAAAAGTACTGTAGTACTTATGTTTCCGTGAACCTTAAGTAAAGTTGTCCATGGGAAACTATAAGCTTACGATCCACATGTGGACACAGATGCATTTTCATCCATGAAACGCAGCTCTGCCACAGACTCCCTCACAACCAGTGAATATGGAACTGTGAAATTAGCTGTTAAATAAATGCATCAACTCATTTTTGATGCATCTGTAGGTTGTAATATTTGATATTTGAAACCGTTACAGTGTTGGTAAATTGTTTGGCCACACAGGAAACAGAAACAGATCCTGTGGCCTGAGTGAATGAGTATATACCTCTTAGGATACTAGTACAAATACTTGTTTACAAACTTTTGCTTTCCATAGATATTCTCTGCTATTTATTTATTCACCAATATTTTCTGTTTCCACAATCATTCCTCTCAGGAAGCTCATTTGCTAGAATAATATAAAACAATACCAAAAGGAGTATGCATTTGTTTTCACATTTGAATAAATGGTCAAGGAACACTTTTTGCCATGGTATGGATATATACTAAATAGAAAAATACAAGATGAGCCTTACCTAGATTATAGGATAATAATATGGTTGAAATACCCAAGGGTGTCATATTCTAGAGTTTCAGGGGGTAGCCATGTTGTATCAGTAAAAACCAATGAGGAGTCCTTGTGGCACCTTAGAGACTAACAAATTTATTTGGGCATAAGCTTTGTGGGCTATAACGCACTTCATCAGATGTATGGAGTGGAAAATAAAGTAAGCAGGTATAAATATACAGCACATGGAAGGATGGGAGTGACTGGGTCACTACAAAAAGTAATTTCCCTGCTGTTGATATTCACCCCTTCTTGTCAACTATTGGGAATGGGCCACATCCACCCTAATTGAAATGGCCTCGTTAGCACTGACCCTCACCCTCCCAACTTGGTAAGGCAACTCCCATCTTTTCATGTGCTGTATAATTCATACCCGTTTACTGTATTTTCCACTCCATGTATCTGATGAAGTGGGTTTTCATATTCTAGAGTTGTGATTTGAGTAGCAACAAATAATATTTTATTGTGGGTCCTGTTGTGACATCCTGTGGTGAAATGTGGTATTACAATGAAATCACTTCCAATTTAGGTAGATAGTGTCACTTGGTTCCAACATAGGTGGAGAAACTGATTCTATGAAACTGGCTTCCCTAGGGAAGTTTCCCAGGAAAATGGTGAGGAGGAGAGGGTAGAGGATGTTAAATGCATATGGTACCTTTCATCCTGAATGATTAAAGATACTTTGTAAACAAACTGATTATGGAGGCATGGGAGCAACACCCTAATTAGGGTTGTAGCAGGATTTCTGTTTAAAGCCAACTTTAAAAATGCTCTAAAATCCATTGGCAGAGGGCCTTGAAAATTACTGTACCACTTAAAGGCACAGGGCCTGTTGTGGTACAACTCTGAAGGTCATTTGGTCAAAGGCGTCCCCAGCTAGCATTTTCCCCTTAAAGAGGAATTGACCACCACGTCCATCCTATCAAAAACTACCATTTTCTCTTCATCCACCACCTATTGCTAGTTTGTAGATATTGGATTGGACAAAAAGGCTGAAAGAGGACTAAGTGCTACAATCGCCCTGACCAACTCATCAGAACAAGACTCTAAAGGGAGCAGAGTGGACATTGTTTAAAACAGAAAATGCAATAGTAAGGTGACACTGCCTTGATTACACAATTTTATTCTTGTAACTCCTACATTCTTATAAGGGACCTTAACTCCACTTTTCCTATGCATTCTGAGAATTAATTTTATAGTCTAGATTGATCACCTACAGTGTTAGCTTCCCTAGTAATAGAAGTTATTTGTGTGAACATAACAAATATAGGCATCCCCTTATGCTTCACTGCTGCCTCTGGAGCAAAAAACTACAACTTTTAAAACAGATAAACCATTATTCCAAGTATTGGTTCAGAAGTTTGTGCTGTGAGCCTCCTCTTTCGCAAGCTAAGCAAGATTGACTATGAACTCATTGTAGCTAGTGGTGATCCAGGAGATAGGAATCTGCCTCTATTAGTTCTAAACCAATGCTCCAGCATAATAGTAGAGGGTCACAGGCTGTTAGTGGAAATGGCATTGTTCCAATGAGACATGAAATTGAGGTCCTGACCACCTGGCATCAAATTTAGATGAGTGGCCTGCTTAGAGTCCACTTCAGGTAGTTACATTCTTTGTCAACACTGAGCCCCTTCCAGCTCATCTGAAACACTATTTTCGATTCCTAAGCTAAACTGCTATATATTGTTGAAAGTTAGTGACTAGCTACTTAAGGACTGTCGTTTTTCATTTGAAAATATGCCATCATTTGTTTATAAGAGCACTGCATATGCTACAGGGGGGAAGGGGGAAGAAAGGATACAAATACAGCTCTTCCCAGCCCACTAAGCAAACAAATAAACCTCTCACTCCTCTTATGAGCACAGCTATATTGCCTCTTGCACAAAGTAAGAAGATTGAGCTTTGTAGCACATCCTGAAGAGGATTCAGATTTCTAAGTACAGGACAACTGAGTTCTAGAAATGAGTTCTGCTCAAACACCTCTGTTGAGCAGTATCCCATAGGGAGTCCCTCATCTAGTTGATGGCAGATGCCTGACTTAGTAACTCCACAGCTAGAGTTACTTTAAACTGCACCCTACAGCCAATACAGAGGGATCAGGTGACATGTTCACACTAGACACTGCTTAACTACAGCTTGTTTCCAAATGGATTTCAGATGTGCATTGCAATCTTGGGGGTGTGGTAGTAGTAACAGCAGTGTTTTGTTCACTACTTTAGTGAATCCTTTTGCTATAGACATACATAGGTTTCCTTCTTCCTCAGTTTCCATGCTGTTTGGTTTTACAAGGAGAAAATGCTTGCTATTCTATTAGGACTGAGGTATTCCAAATACAGAGAACAGAACACATTACTGTCCTTTACAAAAAGGAAAAGCAATTTATTGGAAGTTAAGAGATTAAGATAAAATAATTTATAGTTTATTTGTATTGTAGAAAAATATGCACATGCTTTAGACAATAAATTTACATTAGTTTAAAGGAGAATTTCATCCAGGCCTTCGGACTGCCTCAGCTCATCAGCATCTGAAAGAGCAGAATAAGTTACAGATTTAGGCTCAAATCCTGCAGCAATCAACCCTAACGAGGAAAGTTTGAATAGCTAGTTAAGTGTCGAAATAGTCTGATGGCTGAACTAATGATACTAGTGACCCAATAATGAGTTCTTATATCTTGACCAGGTCAAGTGCTGGACGGAGTCAGCTACTAAGTCATTGTAATAAGTAGCAATTTGAAGACTGTACATTTATCCACTATGCAGAGATTGTTTGGTTAATTAGCCATGTCTTGGACTGTTATATGCCCCTCCTTTACACACCTGGCATTGCTCACATGTCGACTATAATAAAAGTTAAGGAAGGTGTACCAATGGCAGTTCTACATCCTGTAGACACAAAGCTCTGATTTATGTCATCTTGTTTTGCTAATCTCATAACCACACTTCAGTTTATACCTGTTGCGCTGAAGATACCAGTTAGAAGGCCTCTTGTTTGATCCAGCTGGCCTGAAGTTGGATTCAGATGCTCTCATTATAGCTGCAGATCTACAAGGAAATAGAACCATGCTGAACATCTGTTTATTCCACCACCAATCACACATCCATCCACTTCCAGATTTGTGCAGAACTGGTCACCCAGCTGCTCTAGAATCTTATTGCATGGCGCAAGGAAGGTAGCTGTGCCTAGAAGAGACATGTTACTCATTAGAAAGGATCAAGTTTATACTCATTGTTTCCTACAGTAACACTTGGATACTAAGGGAATTGGTGCCTTAGAGAAGTCAGAAATTCAGTAGAAGTTAGTCTGATACAAAAGGCTCACCACTAGAAAAGTCAGTCATCCCTTTCCTTCCAAAGGAATTCTTAAATTGCAGGACTCAAGATTAACTTCTGGGAGCAAGGGCTTTAAGATTAAAAGAGCACAATACTTCAGTGAGATGCTGACCGACTGTCCTCCCAGAGATAATTTGAGAACTCATTTAGCTGCAAGTTGCAGAGATAATGGCATGATCTCCCCTCGCTCTGGCAATTGCTTTCCTACTTCAGCCTGTTTCCCCCTGCACTCTGAAATTTAACATCCTTACCCAGCTTTGGAGATGGAGCGACCTGCTCCTTTGCAGTCATGATCCAGAGGATGCCGATGTTTTATACAGAAGTTTCCACAGCATTGGTTACAAACAAGCTTCATCATCTCTTTCCTTTTGCAGCCTTCTTTTAAGCACTTGTTTGTGAAAATCTAAAATGTAGTATAGGACAGTTGCTTTAGTTCAAGCAGCAAATACGTCACACATTACTTGCAAATTAATTTTCTACTCTGACCAAGATGGCATGCAGGCCTCTAAATTGGCTTTATCTGAAATTTACAGAGCAGTTTGAAGAATAAGATTGAATTCAAGGAGTTGGAACAAAGTTAAATATGCTATACTGCTTAGTGGGCAAAATATAAGCCTTGTCAGTCTTGCTCTGCACTGTTTCTGGTCTTCGCAATAATCCAATTAGCGCTTGCTGAAGTCAGAGCTACTAGATTGTTTGGGTACGGAACACCTTTAGCTTGGTCACCAGTTCAAACCCAACTGGTCAGGAAAGGCTGATGAACAGATCGAATCACTGTTTGCTGGTCCACAGTGTAGACTGTTCTCTACCACTAACTGGACTAATGCTCAGATCTTGATCAGTACAGTCAGGCAAAGAATTATGAGTGTAGGGATCTCTTCTAGGAGTCTTCCAGAGGAAGCCTGAGGCCTAGGGTCAGCGTAGGTAAGTGAGCTTGCATTGCTGCTGCCTGTGTCATACTGTTGTGCAGTTAGGAGGCTTGTCTCCATAAGCATCAATTTAGATTTCAAAGGGAGTTTCCTTACCCTCTGTTTCTGCTGAGTAGGATCATATTTGCAGTCCCTGTCCATGTGTGCTCCAACTACAATGTCTGGCATCTCTCCTCTTCTCACTGGGATGGGAGTGTTACATAAAGGACATACTGGAACCTGCACATCCTGAAGACAGTGAAGTTAGATTAGAAATGGGACAGAAAGCAAGATTTCAAAAGGAAGACAACTCAGATTTCCATCTCTTGCCTTTGAAGGGGGGGGGTGAGGGGGGGAATATCTCAGAGTGGCCCTCCATTCCTATACCAAGTTCTCTTCAGAACTTCCAGTACATCCACTTCAGCAGTGCTGGATTCTGCATTTCCAGTTACTACAGGAAGTCCATGTCAAAAATCATTGTAGTTAGAGCTAGCCAGCTACAATTAAGTCCCATCTAATTTGCTTTTAGATCATGTAATTTTCAAATCTTGAGCACTTTCCTTGTTGATTTGGTTTCTTCCCTAGCCCTAATTGTGCTAGTCCTTTTGTTGAGTTTCCAGGTATGGCGTACAACTATGGTTCTAGAACCACAAGCAACTGCAGCAAGAGAATACAGGTGACAAGAGTTTGAAGACTGCACAAGAACAGCACATTTGTTAACTACATTAGATGACTTGTCAAGTCAACTTCTGGACCTAGATAAGATGAAGTGTTTATTTCAAATAAGGCTGTACTTATTCTGGCCAGTAATTCTGCATTGCTAGAATGCAAGTTTGAGAACTGTCTTGATAACCCAAATTCCAGTTCATACTGAACCATATTATAGCCCAATGTTATCACTAATCAGACTTTCCATCCATCAAATATTTTGTCATTTGCTTTTCTGTAGTTTTGTGTTCATGGACTTTTTTAAATCAAATTAAGGTTTTGAGAAAACTCACTGAACCCTCAACTGGTAGCCACCGCATTGCTGAAGATGCAAGGCACTGTATCTGCACTCTTTATGGGAGCCCAATTTAAGTGAAGGGTGCAATCAGGTTTGCTACAGCTTACAGTTTTACCATTTGAACTTCTAAATTCACTTGTAAACTAAATCCAAGTCTACTGCAAGCAGAAGACCCAGCAAAGCAGGCTACAAGAAACTCCTAATCAGGTTTCAAAGTTGGCTTTCATCACAGCTAGAGAATTCCTTAAGTGCAAGCATTTGGAATTACCATTAGACACTTACCTTCTTATATGAAGAGGTACATTTGTGTTGGTCATACGTGATGTGATCTTTACAGAAAACTTCCTTACATGCATCACATTTTAAAGGAAGGAAATCTGTAATAAGCAGATAACATTATATGCCTGCAAGTCCTAAATGGGGAAGATGTAGATATTTACCTTTTAAAGTAATACTAAAACAATCATTGTGAGTAAATTCCTCATGCATTAAGTAGGTAATACCCAAGCAGGTGTCTGGTTACTCAGAATCCAAGACAGCTTCACATGGAACTAGTTTAGGCCATTCCAAGTTGTATATTTTAGTGAGCAACAGGGAGAAGAGCTAGCTTCTCTGAATTTGAAAGTGCTAGGGTAGCCTCATTTCTGCCTTTTAATTCACAAGTTACTTGCAAGACGTGTTAAATCACCAATACAGTGAAACAAACTGCCCCGTCCCCTCTCTCACCACCACAACAGCAGCTAATAGTTCAGGGGGCATATTAGACAGAGGCACCAAATACTCTCCCAGGCCTCAAATCACAGCAGATTTGCTTTAGTTCACTTTAGTATACCCAAATACTAAAGTCTCCCAGCTGTTAGAGTGAATGGCTGAGACAGCTTAGAGAAGTGTAGCATCTGCAACTATTCTTGGGGTAGCCTCATGATTAATAGCTGATCTATATATAGTAACAGGAGACTCAATGCATTACAACAAGAAATCCAGATATTTTGACAGGCATACTGTATACCTGTCTTGCCAGAGTCCACAGTCTGAGGTGCTTCTCTGGATTCTAGGATTTCACTGATGGGTGGAGGTTTATTTCAGTTCTGGCTGTAATTCTAGACATCTCAGATGCAGATTGACAGATATCTGCAATAGTTTAGTGTAGGACAGTTTGCACTTGCTTCTTTAGTTCCTCTCTTCTCCAAGACCTGTACTGCTCTATCAGCTCATTTCAAGGCTTGTCCACAAAGACTCACTTCCTGTACTACTATGCTAGGGATCAGATGTGATGAGTTTAACAGTCCTCAGATATGAAGGCCTTGGGATAGCAGACAGGATTTTCTGATCTCAGGTTTCTCTGCTGACCCAACAATATGACCTTTGGGACAGCATTGCAGTATTTGGTTCAGGTTGTCCCTAAGAAAGTGCTGGGAGTATTAGTTTGTGGGTAAGCCACATTAGTATTGCATACCTTGTGTAGTTAAGCAAGTATTCTCAGAGTACTGATGGGTACATTTTACTAGGACTAGAAGATAGTCTAGTCAGACTCCTCTGGTCCTGGCAGTGAAAACAAATTCATCTCACGCCTGTTCTCTAAATCAGGAGTATCCATCTCATACCTCAAGTCAGGATCCCCTCAGGAGGATTTGATGCACATAGCCTTTTGGCATTTATGGGTTCAGCTGATCTTGTCAGTGCACCACTACTAGTCAGAACCAGACCTGGACTTTCATTCAGTAAATCACCCCAACTTCTGGAATACCCCTTGTCTCTAGGAGAGTTAATTTGGTTCATGCAAAGCAATCAAGAGAACTAGAGCAAATAACAGAATGTAGTAAACTAACTATACTAGTAGTTGCATTCAAAGTGCATCTTACCCAGCTGTTTGCAAGTTTTTTCTGAACAATGCTTGCCCAAGTCCGGAAACTCCATAATAGGCCAACAGATCCTTCAAGCTCCTTGGCTACTACAGCAGTCACCTTCAAAAATGAAGTTGTGGGTTTAGTTTATTGCAGTATCAACCCAGCTCCACCTCACCCCAGTAATCAAAGCATTTTTTTTAAAAAAAGCATTTCATAGGAGCAATCTTTAGATTTGGCCAGAGGACGGGATCAGCCAGCACTAACTCTGAAAACAATGGGGGAGGCTAGCACCCCGCCTTCCAAAGCGAGCGGCCGGCCGGCAACAGGTCATTACCCACAGGTCACACCAGTGAGGCAGGCCAAGCCACCATCTCCACCTCTGGCGAGCAGGGAAGAAACCCACCGGGAAGGGAGCTGGACGGTCCTTGGTGCAGACAGATCATAGCCTCCTAAGGGCGAGCGGGCAGCCGGAATGAGCAGCGCCCCCGGAACCCCCCCACTTGTCTCCGCCCTGGGCAGCACGGGTGGGTGACCGCAGCTGTCAGCAGAGCCCGTCTCTGCCCCACTAGCCAAGGCCAACCCCGGGCACGGAGATGGGGGGGAGGCGCACTCTGAGCGCCAGGAGACAGAGGCCGCAGCCCAGCCACCGGCCCGAGCCTCACAGCAGCGCTGAAGAGAAGGGGCTGGTGCCCCGGGGGACCCACTCCAAGGATGCGTCCGCACAAAAGCGGCGGGTAGACAGCCGCCCGAGCACTCACCGCGCGTTCTCCGCTCTATAGCACATCCCCAACCAGCCTCCCCTCGCCGGGCCTTTTATCCAGCCCTCCCGCTGAGTCACGCGCTGCGCGGCCAAGCTGGATTTTGCCGAGTCATGCCTGGCGCGTGCGGTTAATGATGACATCCGCACCCCGGACCAATCACGGTTTGCCGTTGGCGCGTCCTAACGCGCTAAGTCAGCACGCGGCCAATCAGCGGCCTGCAACTGTGCTGAGTCAGAGGGCGGGGGCTCCCGAAGGGGAGGGACGATGACAGTGCGGGCCTGTGTGTTCTAGAAGAGCCTGGACTAGGCAACGCCCCAGCACCCCAAGGCGAGAAGCCGGTAGGGGCAGGTCCCCCGCAGCCCTTGCGGGGGTAGATCAGGGTCTCCACAGCACTGGGGAGGGTATTGGGTAGGGGCAGGATCCCCACAGCCCATAGGGGAGTAGATCAGGGTCACCACAGCTCTTGGGGCGGGTATCGGATGGGGTAGGATCCCAACAACCTTGAGAAGGATTAGATAGGAGCAGAGTCCTCTCAGCCCATTGGGGAGTAGATCACTGAGGGATGGGTACAAGCCAGAGTGAAGGCCTGGAATCTAGGAAGCCCTAAATACACCTCTACCCCGATATAACGCAACCCGATATAACACGAATTCGGATATAACGCGGTAAAGCAGTGCTCGGGGGGGTGGGGCTGCGCGCTCCGGCGGATCAAAACAAGTTCGATATAACGCGGTTTCACCTATAACGCGGTAAGATTTTTTAGCTCCCAAGAACAGCGTTATATCAGGGTAGGGGTGTACTTGTCTTTAATAAAACAAAAATTGTGCTATCTCCTTTTTTCTATTCTTTGCTGTTTGCTCTCCATTCAGCACTGCTGTCGAGGTTTAAACATCGTGTTCTGTAGCAAGGCAGCGGACACCAGTTAAACCCCATGTAGTGTCAGGAGATAGGCGACATCCATGCCGGGCAGACAGGAGCTTAGCTATTTGTCATGTAGTATTTGTATATAGCCACAAACGTACATGAACATAATTCTGTACAACACTGGAATACAGAATGTTGCCTGTCTGAAATTGATGGTAATCTAACATAAGGGCTGGTTCACACTAACCCCCCAGTTCGAACTAAGATACACAACTTCAGCTACGTGAATAACGTAGCTGAAGTCAAAGTATCTTAGTTCGAACTACAAGGTACTTACGGCGGGTCCACACGCGGCAGGCAGGCTCCCCCGTTGACTCCGCCTACTCCTCTCCCGGAGCAGGAGTACTGGTGTCGACGGCGAGCACTTGCGGGATCTATTTATCGCGGCTAGACAAGATGCGATAAATTGATCCCAGAAGATCGATTGCTTACCACCGAACCCGGAAGTAAGTATAGACGTACCCCAAGAGACCTACTGACAGGCCTACGTGGGACTCAATTTATCTGCCTCTAACTATGTAGTTGTGACACAATCTTCCTAGGATTTGTGCTTACAATTCTCCATAATTGAGGCATTCTAACCAAGACTTAGGGCTTGTCTACACTGGCAAGTTTCTGCGCAGTAAAGCAGCTTTTTGACCTCAAACTGCAGATCTGTATGCACTGCCAAGCCACTTTGTGTGCAGAAACTCCTCAGTTGCTGTGCTGCAAAAAAATCACTTCAACAAGAGTCGAACGGGTATTTGCTCCAGCGCTCTATTGCCAGTATAGACACTTGATTGCTTTCTGTGCTGTAATTGGCCTCCGGAGCTGTCCCATAATGCGTCAAGTGACTGCTTTGCTCATTGTTTTAAACTTAGCTGCCCTGGAGACATGCACCCCTCCCCTTTCAAATCACTGTTTCTGACAGCCCTTGCCTGCTGTGCTGATCTGCTCTCAGACACAAAGCAAACCATTAATGTGGAATGCTCATGCTGTTGAACACAGAGGCAGATGCTATGTAGAGAGCCCAGGGAGGGAGGCAGGGGTTGACGTTGGTGTTTCCCCCTCCCCCTGCCTCAGGACTGGTTGCTTCCTGTCGCTGTCTGAACTTACAAGACAGCATGCTGACACACTCTCTGTCCCCCCAAAACCACACAGTCTCGCTCCCCCCTCCATATACACACACACACACTCCCTGTCACACACTGTCCCCTGCACACACACACACTTCAGTTGAAAAGCAGCTGGCAATGTAGTAGGATGCCCATGGAACAATGGGATTGGGAACCCTGCATCATGTGACGTTGTGCCTGCCCCATGAGGCATTGCAAACCCTTCCCAAAGCACCCTGCGGCCAGTTGCACAGTGGGATAGCTACCACAATGCACTGCTGTCTTTGCTGTTGCAAGAGCTGCTAATGTGGATGCGCTCCAGCGTCACGAGCACAGTGGGGATACGCAACAGCGGTTTAATTCCAGCGGTTTAATAAAAGTGGTATAACTTGTGGCGCAGAAACTTGCCAGGGTAGACATACCCTTAGTTTGCTACACCATCCATTTAGATGGCAACATTCAACCCAAGGGATCCCACAGCTCTAAAGTAAACCAATTTCATACACCCAGGTAGAGGCAGTGTTCTTTAACAGCGAGAACAGAATGCTGACTGTGGTTCTATTTCCTACTCTTCTGCTAACTCCCTCTCTGGCTTTGGGCAAGTCTTCTGCATCAAAATTTTCAACAGAGATTTCAGTTTTTGGATGCCTAACTGAACATAAAAACGGCCATACTGGATACTGGGTCAGATCAATGGTTCATGTAGCCCAGTATCCTGTCTTCCAACAGCAGCCAATGCCAGGTGCTTCAGAGGGAATGAACAGTGCAGGTAATCATCAAGTGATCCATTCCCGGGTCACTCATTCCCAGCTTATGGTGAACACAGGCAAGGGACACTTGAGAGCATGGTTTTGTAAGTTAACGGAAGCTGTGCGTGCTCGAGTTGGACACCGCCCAAAAACTAGGCACCGAGAACTCAAGATCTACTTTTGAAATGGCTGATCTTTCCCTCCCAGTACCTTACTTTCCTTACCATTCAAGTATGGATAATAATACGTCAGTGGATGTTGAGGAGTATTAATTAACTAATGTTTGTAAAGTAAGAGTCTAGAAATACAAATTATTAGTATGTCTCTGATACTGTTCTCTAGGTAACCCCATAATAAATACCTGACTTCCCCATATAGTATTAGGAATTGCGTGTGTAGAGTGTGATCGTAGGATCAGGGAGTCATGTGCTCATTTAATCGGCTGGAGGAAGGCATATGGTGTTTTGGATGACGATGACTAAGGCTGATTTGTGCTGTGTACACAGTGAAAACAGCATGTGGTGATCATGTGACATAATGCTGTTACATCATGTTCACATAAATCTCTCTCTCGTTTACACTACGGGCAGACAAGCCAAGCCAATGCTAGCGCTCTCTCCTGAAAATACTGTCTCTCTGCCTGAAATGATGTTGCATTGTCAGCCAGCCACTGTTTCGGTACAGGTTCCAGTCTGATCTGTCAAAAATGATGGTCATAGTGAAAGCCAGAAGATGCAAGCAGACGAAGAAGAATTAGCCAGACATATACTTCCCTGGAAATGTGTATGAACTAAACTCAAACTGGTGACTTCCATGCACAGCGAGGGTGAAGATGTGCAAACAGGAAATTTTCTGAAATTGTGGTGGGGAAGTGTGGTCACTGTAAGTCTCTTCCCTCTTCAACAAAACGATTGCAATGCCAGCACCCACTCCAGTTTCTCTCTTACCCAACTAAGGACAACCTCTGATTTCTCCTTCATTTACATCAGTAACAGCATGAGGGGTGGTAGATCCCTCCTTAACTGACGCTGCCAAGGAGGCAGATGACCCAAGTGACTCTTCATTTGTGCTGCTCTTGACTTCCACTGTCTTCCTAGCTGACTCAAAGAGTGGATGAAATGGTAGGCAGCACAAAACTGGGTGAACACAATAGTGTCAGGAGTACATGTCATAGGACAAAACTGAGAAACTCCTTGAGGAAGCTGGGGGCATGAGAGGTTGTAGCTAAAAGCAGGAGTCTCTTCACAAAAGCAGGAAGTTATATTTTTGTACTTTTTGTTACTTTGTGGCATTTTCTACAAATATCAGTGATCATATAAAACTGCTGTGTTTGGATAGCAAGAGTAATGGAAAGACCCTGGATTTTTACCATGATACATAACAGGAATGAGATCGTATTACAGATGAGGAACTGAGGCACAAGAGGGGTTAAATGATTTACGTACTGTCACACACCAATCAATGGCACAGTTCAGGATACAATCCTGACTTCCAGCCCTTTAATCTCTAGAGTATAACGTATCTAAGAGTCGGACAGTGATATGATAGGCAGCCACCTAAGGCATCACATCTCAGGGGCACTGGAATAGTGCTGGGACTGCAGATATTGTTCACCTCCAGGCAATCAGGGGCCAAATAATTCCATTTCTGGTGACAGGGTTGTGATGTTGCTTTCTACACTCATCGATGCCCAGTTTATATATTGTGGAGCAAGTTGAGCTACATGCAGTGTTTGCTCCAGATCATGGTGCTTGGGACTGGTATCTCCAGTGACTTAGGTCAAACTGATCCAATGGGCCTGGTCCAATGAGTAATAGTTTTACCTGTGCAGAAACTACATGATCAAGGCCAACATTCTTTCCAAGGTCTCCATAGACATTCTTCAGACAGCTTTTCTTCTGTCCTCAGCTGCACTTGCTCATGAGGGGTTAAGTATTTGTTGTTTGTTGGACAACATTTAGTGCTGAAGTGTGAGCCGTTTCTCCTCTTGATGCAACATGTTAGTTGTCATTGATGCACTGTCACGTTCTGGGGGTGCAATCCAGGCCAGTGAGGGGTTGTGTCACTTCCTGCCTTGTAACCCTGAATGCCTCCAAATGCTCTGCTACTGTAGTTCCCTTGTCTGGATTCTTCCAGTTAGCATAAAAGCAAGCAGAGAGAGAGACAGAGAGAGAGAGAGAGAGAGAGAGAGTGTGTGTGTGTGTGTGTGTGTGTGTGTGTGT